GCCAAGGAATTGGAAGCATAACCTGCATTATAATTTTCAGCAGCCTCTCTTGCTGACTGGTCCACCAACTCAGTGCTATGTGATCAAGTTGATGAATCTTGTAAATTAATGGTGATGTTTGTGTGTAATTTGAAATTGCAAAAAGTACTCACATATTGTCAGTATAGATACTTGAATGAACAATATTATTATTTATAATATATTCAATTGCTAATAATGCTTCTGCTCGGAATATACTATTTTCATTGTCAAGGTGTTCTATCCATTAATACTTAATTAAATATTGTTAAGTTCTGTATTAAGAGTCCCTCTCCAGTAGAACAGATGCATTGTTTCTTGAATTGGAAACATATCCAACATTATTTTTAATCTGAATGTAATTAATTGAATATTGTTTCTTGCATTGGAAACATATCCAACATTATTTTTAATCTGAATGTAATTAATTATTTTTAATCTGAATGGTCTGAAATTAAAAATCCAACATTATTTTTAATTTCAGACCCATCAGTCTAGATTTTAGGCATTCTATTGTGAGTATGATAAATGTTTCTTTTATTATTTTTATGAATGAATATACTGTTAGATATTCCAATTTGTACCAAAAGTGCAGTAATACTGTCAAATTATTATTTTTTCCTCTTTTCTTAAGGAAGATAAGTGGATGGTTACTGTGTGTCTAAAACAACTGCTGCTACAGCAATAACTGCTGTGAACTCCTTCAGTAACAGCTGGCTAGAGAAGAGTATTATGAAAGTTTGATCAGAGAACACATAATCACATTTTTACCACTACATATAACCGTCAGATCATTAAAGAAATGTGACCTGTAGAAAAATTACATATTGAATTGCAAGGACTTATTTTTCATAGCTCTGCATTATAAGAAAACGTTTCTGATCAGTTCCTTGCATTTTGATTTTTTCATATGCAATCTCATTTAGGAATTCTAAGGAAATTGTGAAGGAAGGGACTCGGCTAGGAAGACTATGATGATATGAACTGTGACTAGAACAATGTGCAAAGTATTGTTTCTTGCATTGGAAACATATCCAGTCATGTTCTCTTAAAATTCCTGAATTTATTTAGTCTAAGGAATAGTCCATTTGTGTTGACAAAAGTAAGAACTGGAACATATAAATTTCTCACAACAGTTTAACTTGATAGAATATTTAAAAGGCAGTGGAGGTTGTTATTCAGCTTCCTTTATTAGCAGCTCCCTTTGTGCTTCTTACATCTGTGAAAAAGTTATCTTTATAAATTTGAATTTCTATGTGAAATTAAATGCTTAATCTGTTCTTACCACTTAACTGTAAAAGCTTGGAATGTTATCATTTATCTTCATGTTTGCAACTAAGTTGGAAATAATATATACTGTTTAATGGAAATACAGTTCTGTCTAGGCAGTTTGAAGAAAACCATTAAATCTGCTTCATTTAATATTGTTCTGAGAATAGCTATTAACATGAAACATGAAAAAAATTAAAAGAAATACATAGCTGCAAGTGAAAATGTTTAAATGTTACATATCTGAAATTCAAAGATTTCAAACAACATAATTTGGGGAAGTGTACATTTTCATGCTGCAGATTCATATTAATTCGTTGCTACCATGGCTTACATATATTTTCCTGTGGGAAGTAACTTCAACAAAACAATAACAAAATGCATTTGAAAATAGTACTTATGCATTAATTATGTTAGCCAAATGTTTAATGTTAGAGCTGGGCAGTTTCATAGACAAGAGAAGAAGCTATAAGAAAGGAAAACTCCTTTCAGTTTAAAAATCAATTTGCCAAAATAATATTCTCAGTAATTTAAAATAATTATTCCAGTTTTACTAAACTAAATGATTACTATTCAAAGAAATATTCATTAAAATTTTCTTTATTATCAAATTCAGACAAACAAATTTTAAAAAGTATTCAGTTCTAACAGTTACATAATTATTCAAGCATTAACCTTGTAGAGCAGAGGTTTTCAACAAGGGGCCAAATTTCATAGTTTCAGGGGAAAATGCGATCAGCTTGTAGACATTAAGTATTTTGTGAAAGCACGAGAGCGGACCACGGACCTCTCGAATACGCGCTGACCATTATACCACAAAGGCATGCTGAGAAGGTGGGAGCCTTCTTAGCCCCTTTACCTTTTATTTAGCTGTTTAGTTTATGAATATAAAATGTACTTTTATTCAAGTTTTGGCATTTTTCAACATTTTCTGTACCTTTCGTTATTTAATTCATAAAACACATTAAAAAATAATGCCCTCCATCATTAAAAATTTAATCACTGTCCTTTCTGTACTTTTGAATGAATCCATCAGTCACAGAAACGCTTTCAAAATAAGTAAATAAATAAAAAGTTCTACAGAATAACCAGTTGTACATCAAACATTCTTCGATTTTTATCATACAATTGCCCCTTTCTACTATGTTATTTTTCTCTCTTTTAAGTAATCCTAGTATTCTCTATGGAAGAATGGTATCAACTTTTAAGAATTCACTCTGCTGCATACTTTTCTTCTACTTATAAGGTATTTCTCCCGCCTTCCTAGCGTGTGTTCGTGATTCTACACGTTGAGCCGGTATTCCAGAGGTCCGTGGTTCGATTCCCGGCGAAGGCGATTGCTCATTTTTCATCTTGCCTGCTTCCAAAAAATACCTAATGTCTCTACAGTGGCGCCTGAGCTAAAAAGGTGTTGGATGATGATTCTTCTCACCCAGGATTTGGCGATTGGGTTACCTAAAAACCCCAGTCGCTCTTTAAAAGGGGGAGTATATAAGGTATTTCTCCCGCCTTCGTGATGTAGTGGTTCTACACGCTAGGCCGGTATTCCAGAAGTCCGTGGTTCTATTCCCGACGAAGGCGATTGCTCATTTTTCATCTTGCCTGCTTCCAAAAAATACCTAATGTCTCTACATACTAAAACATAATGAACAGTACTGTAAACTTCTGGTTTCTACTACTGGCTCAAATATAAATGTTCATTTACTTTCAAAAATCAATTACACTGTTTGGCAGTTGATTATTCGTAAAATATTGAAATTAAAACCAAATTTATGGAAACTGGAAAAATTAAGTCATCTCTTGTGGAAAAAACTTTTCTTTAATATGGTGAATGGTCACCTCGGACAGATATGCATATTTTCATTTCATAGACTTCACCAAAGTAATTATCAAGTCTTATAGAATTGCATACTACTTTTTTAAAGTGAACTTTTCAGCTTCTGGAGGATCTTGCACCCAAAGGCATCCCACACGTGCCAAATCGGTTTCAAGCAGATGGCCAGTCCATTTGAGCAATATGTTTTGTTTGCAAGTATTCTGACACCACATATACTCGATGAAACCGAGCATTGTCAACCATTAGCAAAAACTCTGGGCCAACAGCACCCCTAAACAGTCTATTTTGCGGTTTGAATAACTCGTCCACATATCTCTGTGTGGTTACAGAACCTCCTTGAAAGATTTGCAACTTGTTATGGCCATTTATCATGATTCCTTCTCAAACCATTAAAACTGCGGTTGCGGAAATGGAATATTTCACGTACAAAGGAAGGCTAGTTGCGTGTTACTTCCTCTCTCCAGATCACTAAACGTGTTTTGATCTGGAGAGAGTCAACATCACTGTCTGGAATAAATCACTGTTCAGACTGTATGTGGACTCGCCAGTAAACAATACTCACACTCAGTCGTCTTGGCTGCATCGAACATGATAACGGGCTGCTCTGGAAGCTGGAGTAAGTTGGGAGTCAAACCATTGTTATTCTCACATGCAGTCCAATCTCATTAAGCTTTCATGCAGCAGTGAAATGGCTAGTTCAAGTTCCTCTAGCAGCTTGGAAAGTGTAAAACTAAATCTCTTGAAAGTTGCTTTGTAATTTCGTTGAGCTGACAACAACAGAAAACGGTTTTATGATGCAGTTGTTGCTCTTGGTCGCGCTTAACCAGGCTGTCATATCAACTGATCCAGTGCTTACAAAGCAGTTCCAAGCTCCTGAAATGACACTCGGAGGGATATTCAAATCTTGGATGACCTCCCTTAATTCTACCAATTATTTGCCACTTTTGACCTTCACTTAAATGATGCCTCTGAGCCATAACTAAATAATACTGATCATTCTCAGAAACCACATTCATTTTAAACAAAACTACAAACTGGAATTCCAACATATGTCTATTATGCACTACACTGTCAATCACCGAATTTGCATATTGCCGCCGCTAATGTGTATGTGTAAATGCAATTTTGTATCCATTTGTATTTAATTAACATAAATAATTACGGTATTTGTTGTAACATTAACTTGGTAAGCATATTTTTTCTCATTATTCTTTAATTTTGACAACCAGTGTGATTAATGCAAAGTTTATGGGAATTATCTGTTAAGAGGCTTATGTGGAATACTTTAAGAGAAACTGCCTGACATTTGCATTAACAAAGGAGAAAACCATAAAAATCTCATGTACTCAGCATATAATCTGTGACATGAAATAAATATAAGAAATTATAAAAACAACTGTAAAAAATCACCTTTCTGCTGCAATGTGAAACTTTCTCCAACACAAAAAATTAAGTCATTATGTATATGTTTAGTTAAGGAAAAAATATTTAATATTTGAGTAGATTTGTCTTTTCTTACCTTTTTTTTTTTTTTTAATTATTTTACTAGCTTTGCAAAATTCATGCAATAGAAGTTTGTATAAATTTTAGTAGGTATCTAATGCTCTGAGAGTATTTTGTGTAATGATTGGACTAGATTTCAGTTTAAAGTACTATAATATAAAAATATACTCCAATAAGGTTTTATACCAACTTTCAGTTCAAAGTTGAATGAAATCATACTTAAAAGCTATGCAGCTGCTTATGATTTGAAATGTAGAAATTTCTTAAATGAAAAATGTACAAGATGATAAATTATTGTCAAGAAAGGAAGGGTTTAATAGATTTTACTAATTTTAATGTATATGAATATTAAGAAGAAAAATGACCAAAAACAGACAAATTTCATTGGCTTTAATATGAAGAGACTAGGTATGGTTAATACAACTGCTCATCACCGGTAGTAGTTTAAATAAAATACAGTCTACAAGTGCACTTAATATTTGAGCACAAAATACATATGGGATAAAGATTAATTTCCTCAGTTTCAGGAACAAAGAAAAATCTTGTGATAGTGCATTAAAATATCAAATGATAAAATTTGTTATTAATTATTGCAACAACACAATATCATACATTTTAGCTATACACATTTTTGGTAATGTTAAACATTAAATTGCTAATATGAAATTTTGTTAATTATGCACTAGTGAAAATATGTTTGCTTTCCTAATAAAGAATGTGCATTATTATTTTATAGTTGTTAATATTTATAGCAATAAACTTGATTTAATCTTCTTTTTCATTATAAAATAAAAATGCGCAATCTGTCTACTAAATTACACCCTGTTAATCTTGTATTGCTGACTTACAGATCTGTAAAATCTGACTCTGACAATAATATTGCTATTTGTATAGTCAATTTAAAACAGGCTTCAATATTACAACAACAAAACAGGCTACAATATTTCTGATTTAATTGTCACTTGCAAAGGTACCTTTTTTTAACATGAACAAAATACCTTCAAAGGCATTTTATTATAGATATTTCAGATATGAAAAATCCATAAATTTTTAACTACAGTTATACAGGGTGGTGCACAAGAAATCAGCCTAACTGGCCTGGCATGAACCTCTTCTTTGTCAATTCTTTGTTGAACAGAATACATCTAACTGAACCCTTTACAGCTTTTGTACTGAAAATGGAATAATGAACACATTCACAACAATGAAGCAAGTGAGACGAGGTTTAGTATCTGTCTCTACATGCTTGTGGGCAAGATTTTTGTGAGCCACTCTGTATCTTCCTTAAAAAATGACTTAGCAGCCAATATAAGCCTTTGAAATCTCAAATGGCATAACCTTTATTATTTGGGGATATATATATACACACACAAACACTTTTCTGAAAATGCAATATAATTCTTTTTCATAAAATAGTTTTAATTAGGGTAATTTTAACTAATAAAATTAAAGTAATTTTAATTGCCTTAGTTTTATTATGCTACACCAGATAAAATAACCTGAAACTTAAATTATGCCACTTTATGATGAAAACATAAAAATCCAAGATTGTGAACGAGTTTCACATATCTTAAATCTTTCTACAGAAAAAAAGTGAAAAATAAACCAACACATAAGCAAAATACACATCACATTTTCATTAATACATTTTATATATTTTATTAAATGTTTATAAAATATGTACACTAAATAGTTATGGTAACTCTTCATACACAAAATGGTCCCTTTCTTTCCTGTTTGTGATTCTCAAACCCTCTGAGAGTATGGCTTTTTGAATCTGTTCAAGAACAGCCATATTTAATTAACATAGCTAGAATTACAATATTAGCAATTCTTTTGTATAATTATGTATTTTCTATTCCAGTGGTGTAATATTGAAGTAAAATGAAAACAAAATATTTTAAACAACAAGATAATCTATACAAAGTGATAACAACTCTCATGACTGAATAAAAGCAGTCATGCTGCAGTGAAGGTTAAAGACTCTAAATACCATTTTTACAGAAGTTGGTGTAAATTTCATAGTCAGCAATCAGTTACCTTAAAATATAAGATTTAAATGAAACAGTTATATCTTAAAAAATGTGCAATCAAAAGAAACACTGTTCACAACCTTCCTTTTGTTTAGAATTTAAAAACAAAATCAAGTAAAAAGTAGTGTGGATTTTATTTAGGTAAATATATCCATGTAGTTACTAATGTTAATGTTAGGTATAAAACTTTTGTAAAAGAAATTCTAGGAGGTAGAAATTTTGAAAGATGTTCATTTATTGATAATTTAAGTACTTTAAATTAAGTTATTGGGCATGATTACAGATAGAAACAACAGCTACTCATATTATATAAAAGTATTAAGGTTAATTTTATAATACAAAAGTTCATGCACTGCACTTGTTACATACAGAACAAGTATTTTTTTTTTTTTTTTCTTTTTTCTTTCACATGAATAAATAAATATATCTAAAATATGTAGAAAGCATCTACAGTAGCATTTATTTTTATATGTATAAGACCAAGAACCTTAAAATAATGTTATAAAGGAAAAGGGTTTAATTCTGTATAAGGCAGAAGAAAAAACTTAAAAATTAAAATTTCGTGTAATACAGATATATCATTTTTGTTTTCCAAATATTGTAAATTTAATAAAATAAAATACAAACTTTATAAGGGATGATGAATTAGACATCACAAATAAAATATTTTAAGATAGTCACAAAATCCCATCATGTTTTCTAGATATTACCTAATTTATTTAAAGCAAAGCTATTGCCAAGTTTAATTTTTGAAATTAAGCATTTTACTTACTTCAGTATTAACAACATTAAAATGCTATTTTTTAAAATGTTAATAGTCATGTAACTGGATGTCTTAGTTATGCAAACTTTAATTATTTAATCTATTATTTTTCACACTTGACAACAACAGTTGCGATAGCACTTTCTAATTTTCATGCAGTATTTTTTTTTGTCAGCCTGAATTTTTAGCAAAGTGCTGAAAAATTAAAAACTCAACTTGAACATACTAAAATTTCTAATGCTTTAAGTCTCATGAAAATCAAATAGCAGTATTAATTACACATTCCACTTAAAATTTTAAAAGTACTATTCAAGTTTTTTAAAGTACTTTTATAACAGCTTTTGTGAAAAATATCAGTTACTAAAGAGTTAATTGATTTTCTTCACACTTTAACATTTAAAAAATTATTTGCTGCATTATTATTTATTTGTATATACTCTCTCTAGATTCACCAACAACAGAACCCACAAAATGTTCCCGCTAAGTCTTGATTTTTAAAGTTTGAAAATGAAATTCAAAAGATAAACATTCCCAATAAAATTCTCACTTCTTAAATTTTCATGTCCAAGATGTAAAATTTTTTACATCAAGGATATATTATTTTATGAAATTTTGCTAGGTCAGTTAAGTCTTTTTCTAAGATAAGAGTATAAAAATTTTATTTCTCTAGAAGATGAAATATTTTTAATTGATTAACCAATATGTTGCTATTTAACAAGCTATATATACATTCTATACTAAAAACTGTGTCTACTCACAAGACAGGAAGCTTTCACACAGTTTTCAGTTGATAAACCAATACAACCTAGCCAGTTGTGTATTTGCTACACTATTTAACTAGGTGATAAAAGTCAGTAAATAAATACATATTAATACAAAGTTTTAAGATAAATTAATGAGACTGGTCATGTAGCAAACTACATGATGGGCAAGAGCAGTTGCCTTCTATAAGGCAAGAAAGTCAGCCTCTCATATACTTAGCAGCAACTTCATAGAGTTCAAATGTATTCTGTTATTCGTGATTTTTTCCCTCTGGTATCATGAAAACAAATGATCTGAGTTTTGAGCAATGTTTTTTTCTTTACGTGACTTTTGCAAAAATTTAACAGGCTATGGAAACTCTGCTTTGCGAAGAGTAAAAGTTTTCAAGTGGATTTTGGTCTTTTAAAAAGACAAGAATCAATTGAAAAAAGATTCTCACTCCAGAAAACTTATATATAAATGAACAACTGATAAAAATGTGAACAAAATTAGGGATCTTATAATCAGACCTTCAAATGACTGCGAGATACTAATCACGAAAAAACTAAATTTAAACCATATATAAAAAAAATTAGAATGCTTCATCAATCAATGCATCTTTTCACACAGTGCTCTTCCTAATAGAATTTTTCAATTGAAAAGGCATCCCTAATGTCCCTCAGCCCCTATATATGCCTTATCTATCTCTGCAACTTTTTCCTGTCTCAGAGTTCCAACTTCAAAAAATCTCATTTGAAATCATTTGAATTTCATTGAAGAGGAGGAATATCATCTCTGGCAATATATGGCCTCCCAAGGGAATATTTTAAAAGGAATGGAGTGGATTTATAATTTAAATGAAAATGAAATTGCTCTTTGGAAAACTCTCATTGCTTTATTTGCAGACCTTGTACCTCTTATAGTTTGATCACATATTCTGGCTACTGAATCCTGCAATTCAGAAAACTGTGGTAAGTTACATGGTCTATGTCAAGCGGAGTCTTTCTATAGTTAGTTAGTTCTACCAAAAACATAGACCTTCTTTATTACAGCTCACCACAAAAAATCTGTTAATTGTCCTTTTTGACACCGCTGGTGTTTCAAATTATCCACTATTTATCCTGTCACTTTTAATAAACACTCTTCTTACTATATATTTTTCCACATAAGAAAATCCTAACCCTTTAGTCTTTGAAAAGCTTCTTAATAGAATTTTACTGCAATTCTTTCCAAATAAAAATTGCTGGTTCATTTTTGATTAAATAATCCAATGCTAAGCATATATATTTTTAGTCTAACTTTTAATTTGCAAAGCTGTTTTTAATTAGTACAGTAATTATGTTAGTTTCAAAAGTAAAAATTATGTAATCATCAGAGTTCTGTTTATGATTACACTGAATATGACATTAAACATATCTAATGATTACTGAAGAGTTTTTTGTGTGAATAAAACTATTGCATCTGACATTGTTGGCTTTTTATGCTAATAACATAATAAATTAATTACAAAAAGTAAATTCTTCAGTTACCTTTGTTGTTAAAAAGTATATGTACAACAATGAACTAAAATATATTTAAACAAAACAGCACAGAACAATTCATATACATGCAATTCAAATTTAGTTCAATTTAATAAGCATATAAAGAGTGAAAAACCTGTCACACAACTCATCAAAAACAAAATGTTTATTATTTTTTTAAATATTTACCAGTGATTTATGAGATGCTATCTAAAAGTTCATGAAAAATGTGAAAAAAAGTCCACATCGCTTATTTATGACCTAGAAGATCCTTTCTATAGAATTTTTTTCCTCATGATTTTTTAACACTGGGTCTGGTTTGTTTAACAATTTTATTGCACTTGAGAATTAATGCATTAAATGAGCTATGATATATGCATTAAATGCTGCTATAGGCTTGGCGAAAGTGATAAAGTTACTCATAAAATGTTTCAACCATTTTTTTGCAAAAATGCTAATGCTAGATGATAACCTACATGTATTTATTTAAAAAATAACTAAATGTCAGTTGATGACTATTCTAGATGTCCCTTGTTTATAATATCCCTAAAGAATTTTCAAAAGCACATGAAATCATCTTGAAATATCTTGGACAGAAATTTCATAATACCTGCAATGTTGCCGGATTTTCAAATTTTATTGGATATGCTTTATTCTTTTTATTCACCAGATTAAGTTCCAGTAACTTTTCTCCTTTCACTAAATGAAAATGAAGATAAAATATATAAAGATTTCATTCATGAACGGCAGTTGAAGAACATTAGAACTGCATTAGAAGAACTGCAGTTGATGCTGAACATTGTACAAATGATGACAATAAAGATTTTCCTGTTAAGGGAATGGTGCTGAGATCAACAGGGTCATTGATTGCTAATGAGATTCATTTGAAAACTATGGAGGACATGATATAAATTAATAAACATTTTCCAAACTTTCAGATAATAACCTCATACTATGTAAGCTGTTATCTTTAAAAGTACATAAATAATTTCATTAAATATAATAATTATTAAGTTTATGAATTTAACAAGAATATTTTTACACTATTACTTTGTTTCACATTTTTAATATAATATGGGTAATTTTGTACCAAGTTTAAATGACAGCACTTGTCATAAAGTGAAATTGCACTTTTAAAAACATTGTTGACACCACATTAAAACCACAAATCTATACAAAAATTTGTTTCTAGAAAAGCACTTTCAGAGATTTTTTGCCCAGTGAAATGTAGTTATACCTTATAACATTCTAATTTTAGCCATATGATTGATATGGTGGCCAGTGAAGGTTGCTCTCACACTGAAATGAACAAATCTGAATCCATGGCATAATTATCTGTGTATAGCAGCATCCTTATAAAGGAAAAATGCATAAAATCTATTAACTCAAAAAAGTTTCCTTCAGAAGACAGGGGGAGAGGGTATTAGATCCTTGGATCCAGTACCAAGAACTAATAAAAATTGGATGAGAAGTTATTGGGGCACAAAGTACGCCCTTACTACTGGTGCTTAAAGAACGAGCAGTGGGTTTGTAATTGACTGTTCAACAAGAAATGGTACAAATGTGCACACATTAGATTGATTGATTATAAGGCATGTGTATATATATATATATATATATGATGATGCCAGAATTCAGTATTAGCAACAACCACATAATATTTTTTAATATGATTCAAAGCTAATATTCATTTTTAAATATATTATCATAATATAAGACACTGAAAGTGATAGCTGTAGTTTTTGGGGTGATGATAAAACATATAATTTGTTTTCACATCAGATAAAAAGGCTAAGGAATATAATTCCTTTTGCTAAACATTGAACTTTTTAATAACAGTTTTATTATTTGAATTCTAGTGTAATTATAAATAACAAAGTATTTTAACCAATATTATATACAAGGCAATTTTGATTTGTAGAATAGTACAGTTTTTTAATAACAAATAACAATAGTCACAATCATTTTTGGATGTTTTCTAGTTATAACTGTTCAGGATAAAAGTATTCATACATAATTTAATCAATTGTATAAAATGGTCATTTAACTAACGTTGGATGAAAATACATTCATTTAAAAATGTCTAAAAATTAAACAGAAATTATGACAGATTATTAATTTAGAATCTTATGTCTAAATTTTAAATAGCTATTTTTTAACACATTAAAGACCTTTTAACAGTACATCAAGTTCTAACCATAAGCAAATCTTAAAATAATCCAAATGAACCAATACTGTCTAGTAAAAGAAGTTAAATTATTCAGTATATTATAACATTATTACAACTGACAACAGTTACAGATATATATAAAAATTACCAAAGTTGCTAAAAGTGATTGAAGCGGACGGATTTTATTTGGCAACATTAACATTTTAAAAGCAAAAATATAGTTTTAAATATTAACATACTTAAAAAAATCTAAATATAATAAAATTCTATATCTTGAAGATTTATGCTTTTATGATATAAGAACATATGAAATGCCACAATAACTTGCACTACATATCAATTTTAACAACCAACCACAAATTAAGACTTCTGTATTGAATTGCAACCTGTAAAACTATTAACTGCAGCTTTTTAACCAAGAGCAACTGATAAAAATGGAATTGTTACATCACATCATTGGTCAATACTTCTCCATTAATGCCATACTGATCAACATGATAAACAGTCTATTACAGCCTGAGCAAAAAGAAGTAATATAAGTTCATATATACATTAATGTCTAGTATTCATAATTTTACACTGAACAGTAGACAACACAAATTGTATTGGTATGTGGATTATAGGCACTTCAAAGTAACAATTTTCAGTAATCTAAAATATATATGAACATTTTCAAGGCATATTACTTTCATTTAAAATTGGTCTCAGAAATAAACAAAAATCCACAATGAATCAAAATATCTACAAATAATGAAGGAATGTTAATTACACTCATTTCAGAAAACTACCAAGGCTACAAAAATGAATCTGTTATAAAACATTAATAAAATACTTCCATACAATAATAATTCATATTTGCCTAAAGCTATTAATAGATTATACATTAGCACATAATTGCATATACATATATACAAAATATAGAATATTGATACTGAAGGTTTATACAAATAAATCTTTAAAATTAATTTCATATCTGAATTTTGCTGAATCTCTAATACAAGGCAAAGTGATTATACATCTAATACTTTTCATTTAAGCACAGAATGTTTTTCATGAAGTTCATAACGGATGAGAAAAATGTAATTGACATGTATCCATAAAACCTTTTTTTTTCTACTATGATTTGTTTATACAGCTGTTAAATATGCAGAAAAATATTCCTATATGTTTAATTTCAATATTTTTACTTTTAAAATATGAAGTAGCTAATATGACTATGAATTATAAATTACATTCTTTAAAAGTCCATTAGTTGAATAAAAGAAAATCAGAATTTGTTAAATTAAGATAATGAAACAATTTCTCTACTATTTTATGTGTGTGTAAAGAAGCAGGATAGATGTTAAGCAACACTCATACAGAGATTTTTATAAATTTCAAATCAATATACATGGCTTGCACAGTAAAGTTAATATATTTGTTACCACAGGAATTTATAATCTGTATTTTAATACTTAAAATTACAACATATTAGAATTTTTGTTCAAGTATTTTCTTTCACTTTATGAATTCTAAAATGCAAATTTAAATTAAGTTAAATAAAAATTGTTTTGTTAATGACTTTCAGAAAATTTTTAAAGTAAAAATAAAATGTAATCTCTTTTTAATACTCTTCCCCTACAGGCGAGGGGGGGAACAATATAATGACAGCTTCTTAAAATTAATATCTCATGTTCTTTAGCACATTTCTGCACAAAGCCAGTTCTAGCATGTTATAGTGGCAATGAATTATTACTTTTATAACATATTAAATAAAGAATACTTGAAAAAAATTTTATTATCTGTTTATATTATTTTAATATATTAAGGAAGGAAATAAAAATGAATACATTTTTTTAATGTAACCCAATTTCTTGTTTTATCTATACTGAAAATAAATACACATATTGAATGTATATTATATTGCTTGTATTATTCAATACACATATTGAAAATGTATATATATTTTAAAATTAATATTTTTCTCCAACAATATGCAATACATATTTTCATGTTTATGATCCTTTCACACAAGGCTATCTTTGATAAAACACAAATAATGCTGATATATATATATATAATATACTCCAATATTTCCTCACTTTATATTTTTAGTATTATTCACTTGATATATATATGTCTAAGGCAATGGAATCACTTTTCATGAAATCATAAATAGTTTGTAATATACTCACATAAAAAAAAATCAGTATTTTATACAGATTATCACAATACACTTATTGGAAAATAATGAATGACTGACAATAAACAGCTAAATTCCATTAATCACCAAAAAAAGTTACAAATAATTAGTATGAAATTAATTACATTATTCAACATGCTAATCCTAAAGTATTTTAGAATTTAAAACAGAAATATAATAATTACCCAAATTATTTTGCTGTACAAACATTAATTTTTTTTTAAAGATAAAATTATTATTTACAATTCTTTAACACCCAAAAGTCGAGCAGCAGAATCTGCTGACACTAACATCTCATCAATCATCCTTGAATCATGAATGCCAAGTAAATTCTGAATCAAATCTGAATCTTCCTCTGGTGAAACTATCTCCATTTTTGAATTACTACTTCTTGTTGCCTTCTGTGCATTACAACTAGAAGGTGGCGTGAAAAGGTACAAAAGTGAATTTTTTACTTTATTTTTAGTAGGCCTACCTCTCTTGTTGGCAAGTGGAAGAGAAGCTGGCTCTGATAAACCCGAACTGGTAATTTGTGTTTCTGTTGAAGACAATACTGTTTCTTTTGAAACAGCTTGCTCTTGATTACTAGATACTTTTTCTTTCAATAAATGTTTCTTAAAATGTTGCTGAAGCCCTTCTACTGAAGGCATTTTCTGAAAACATACCATACATGCAACAGAAGAAATACTTTTCTCATCTGCAGCAATTTCAGGGATTTCATCATTGTTATTATCTTCTGCAGAAACGCTGATATTTTCATTCTGTGTAATTTGCATGTAAACTAATGAATGTGAAGTTTTAAAATGACTGTAACATGTCGTATGAGTAGGGAATGTTTTACGACATAAGTAACACATATATATGACACTAGGATGCTTCAACATATGGTTGCTTAAATCTACCATATTTTTAAAGCTGTCATCACAGAAGTGACAAGGGAACTTGTGCTTTCTCTCTGGCTGACTGTAACTGTGCTCTTGAGCAGTTACCGTCGAGATAGACGGTACATCTAATTTGTTTTCAAGAGTAGAAACAGATATACTTGCATCATTCTTTTTATCACTTTGAATAGGCTTGCAGTTCATACCTAAATAACTCTTGGTCCAGTGTTTTAGATAAAAATGCTTTCGAAGATTGCCTTGTGTAGAGAAAGTACTTGTTAAGCAGTGATTGCATTTATATGGACGGTCAGGAACACTGCGAGTTATTAAATCTCCCTTGTGACCATGCTTGCGTATCAAGTGTCTTTCACAATTTGATTTTGTGGTAAACCATAGAGAACACTTAGGACATTTATATGGCTTCTGACCAGTATGTGTAAGAATATGACGGCGAAGAGAGCTAGTCCATGGAAATTTACGTTCACAAAATGGGCAAGACACTGATGGCATATCACTTTTTTTGACACTGCTAACTTCTTCAGAAGTCACTTTCACGTCATCTTTTTGGTTCACTTCCATTTTTTCTAAATCTGATGATTTTTCTAAGTACTGCTTAAACTGGGGAGAATTTGCAGTGCAAATTACTGATGATACACTTGCTAAATCAGAGCAAGCTTCATCATTATTTTCAGAAAGCTTAAGGACATTTGAAGCATTCATATCAACTACAGTTATTTTTTTAGGCTTCCCACTTAAATCCAGAGAAACATTCACAGTGGATTTAGCTCCAGGAATTGAAGCAACAGGAGTAATGAAATTATGAGGTGAGCTAACTATTTTAAATGTATTCCCCATTTTGGGAAAAGGCCCCGAATTCAGATTTTTATAAATAGGCATTTGTTGCACCTTGGAGCTTAATACATGTCTCAAAGCATCTCTTGTTTTATCAGACAGTGTTGATGGACTCTGTTTCTGTAAATTTGATGAAACTATGCTAGGAATAAAATTTCTGCTGCGAGTAGGTCTAGCAAATTCAGGATGTTTTCTTTTAATATGCCTTTCCATGTTAGATTTCAAAGTGAATCCTGCACAACAGTACACACATGTGAAAGACCGATGTTTCTGTCCAGAGGAATTTGCTGGTGTTTCATTTGGAACTATGCTTTCTGGCTTTTTTGAGCAATTATTATTATTAGTCATTGGTAATGGTGATATTTGTATTTTGTTCTCAGGTACAGTGATGGATTTTGAGGTAGTTAAATCAACAAAGCTTGAAGCCTTATTCATATACGAAGGTCTATTAAATATACTGCTTGGTCTCGAGTCTAGTTTTTTCGTAACTGCTGAGAGAGGTTTGCAAGTCAAGTCCAAAGGATGGGCAGCAAGGTCAAGAGGTTCTTCTTGAAGAGGTGGAGCATTAGAAAGACTTACAAGGCTTTCAGCAGCTATGACAGTCTCATTGGCATTAAACTCATATGAATTTTTTTCTGTCTGTAAATCTAAAGGTTTATCACTATTATCACAATGCAAATCTAAAGGTTGTACTTGCTCACACGCAGAATGGTTAACAGACGATGAATTCGAATTATCAGTCCCACTAGTTAATTCTGCATTTGGAATCTGGGACATTTGAGAATTTGGAATTACAACTGATCTAAGTTTATCTTTCAGATTTGGATGCTGTTTGAGTACATGTCTGATACAATTATTTTTAGTAGAAAATCCAAATTTACATATTTTACAACTAAATGGTTTTCTATTACAGCTATTGTGAAGTGAACGCAGATGATGCCGTAATACTCTGTTAAACTTAAAATCAACACCACAGTATTTACAAACAGTTTCTGAATTACTAATATCTGAAGTAGAAGGATCAGTTCCTCTTAGAGACATGTTAGGATTGTATTGCATTGCATTGCGAATTTCAGCCTTTCCGAATTTCTTATGCCGCTTCCGAACATGACGTTCACAATTTGCTTTAGTAGTAAAAGCATACTTACAAATTACACACTGAAATGGCCTTTCTCCATTATGAGTTCTGAGGTGCCTTATAAGGGTACTCTTGTCAACACTAGCATAAGTACAAAGATGACATGAATAATTTGAACCCCTTTGCATATGCAATTTGCAATGCCTCTTTAATGTACTGATATTTTTAAATTTCTGAGAACATATTTTACAAGAATATAGTCCATGAGCATCTGAAGTAGAATTAATGTCAGGCACATCATGGTTATCAATGCAAACAACTTCTTTGGACGGAGTATCAGGACTTGCATTAGCTGATTCAGCAATCTCAGGAGATTTAGGTTGCTGTGATGAAGGCACAGACAATGGTGATACAGGACGAACTGCAACAGGAGAAGTTTGTGCAGCAGAAATTAAAGGTGCTTTAGAGGTAAGAGATATAATAGATTGTATATCAGCAAAATCATTATTATTGTTGTTATTGCTTGCATCAGCATCCCCCACTTTTGTTTCTTTGTTGCTAACTTTTCCATGAACAAAATAATCAAAATTCTCAAAGTTGTCCTCTTTCACAGGATAAGACTTCAAGCCTTTGATGAAAGATAACTGAGATTGTTTAGTCTGAAGATTGAGCAAAGCCAAAAAGTCCTCTTTTCCTGCATGTGAAGAATGATTCTGTGCATCATGCACAACTTCGCCAGAAAATGAGTTGTTAAGACAATGTTCAGGAGATCGATGTTTCAACTGATGCAACTGAAGAAAAGATGCTGCTGCAAAATCGCACTGGCAACTTGGACAAAAGGTTCCAACTTTGGTTTCATGTACTCTTTGATGGAGTTTTAAAGCTCGTCCACAAGGAAATGCTTTTTTACATTCTGAACATTCAAATACATGAAAGGCACTACTAGGACGTTTGATATTTTGCTCACAAAAGGATTTAGACACTAAAGAAAACTTATCAGCTGTAAAATCCATGAAATTCAATTCTTGGAAACCACAAGGAAAAGGATAACATTTAACAGGTAACTTGCACTCTAAAATATTGCATTTATGATCAGTATGAGCAGAATAATTGACAGATATTATTTCACACTTTTGACATCTTATAGGATCATTGGGGTGAGTTTCCATATGACTTTGGAGACCTAAGTCACATAAAAAAGTCTTTCCACAAACAGGACAATGTAGCTTTTCTTCAGAAGGTTTAGATTCATCTCCCATATCTTCATCGGTTTTTCCTTTTGCTACATCCTTCTTCCTGAGATCTAAAGATTTTGTGCTATCTGATGCATCAAACTCCCCATGGGTGCGCATATGTCGATGCATGTTACCATTAGTGGTAAAAGACATATCACATAACTTACACTTAAAAGGTCGCTCACCAGAATGAACTAGCATGTGGCGATCAAGAGAACTAGCAGAACTAAGGGACTTTAAACAAATTAGGCATTTGTGTATTTGATTATTTGTTACACTGTGTTGCTTCATATGTAGTGTTAAAGATGCAGAAGAATCTGTGACTATGTTGCATACTGTGCACATATTTTGAGCATTGGAAACATTTGTTTCTTCCTGCAAGGAATAAAATGATTGTATATTAAATGATATTTCGTTTATAAAAAACATGAAATAATATTTTAAAATACACCACAAAACTAAATTAACAAAAAATTTATTAATTAACATTAATAAAAGCTGTGAATAGAATAAAAAATAATGAAGATTTAACCATTCATGCATAATGTGCAATCTTTAAATTTTTATTTATGCATCTTATTTTGCAACTATTAAAATCAATTCAGTAATAGTACTCTTTTTGGTACATCCTGTAAGATTTCCACCATTTATAACTTATACTCTAAAGGAAAATCCTCATTCAGGATAAATTACCACAGTCTAGTTTTGAAATATTTTAATACAGTGATTGTTTTCAATGAAGAGAACTAGGTCTTAAAATACATATTTTTTTCTATAGCAATTTAAAGTTGAATACTGCATCATTTTAAAATCAGGATGAAATTTAAGTCCGATGAGGATGAAAATAGAATACATTAATATTTAGTATCTCTACATAACATATGCAAATAAAGGCCTTTAGAATGAGCAAAGAGCTAAATTGGAATTTGGAGGGGGAGAGAAAAAATACTTAACATTTGTGACCAAGATAATACACAGATGCAGGATACTGAAATTTCTGAGTCATTTGGGATCCTACGTTCTAATTATTTTTAGATGTCAATAATGTTCAAGTGAAAAGGTAATGCATGCAAAAATAACTATATTCATTCATATACCCTTTGCTGTAAAAGAATATTATAGTCTTTAAAAGAATTAGTTGTAACTTACTTCTATATTTTGAACTATTTCCATGTTTTCAACGGATGAATTCGGTGATTTGGGACTATTTTCAGTAAAACTTTCTTCAGGAACTTCTTGATTTTCTATTTCATGATTGCAGTCAGTGGTTTCTGATTTCTCATCAACTGGAAGGGATTCATCAATCTGAAGAGGTGTGTCTATTTTATTTTCATCAATATTTTCTGCAACTTCCATTCCTTCCTCTTTTTCCTCTGTCTCGGGTAATAATGAAGATGCTTCTTTTATAGAAAGATCATTGACTGCACATTTGGTTTCTTCCTCTCCTGTATTTTTAACATCATGCTGCTGACCTAAAACATAAATTATATCATAAGCATATGGTTTTGACACTTATATGTATGCTAATACAGCACAAATTTATATAATCAGAAGGAAATTGAAATGGTTTTCCCTATAATATATGTGACTGCATTTCAAAAATAAAATACTTTAAATGTTGTTATATCATTACTAATATGATTACTATGTGTTAGCTATAATGTCATTATTAAAGATGCTTACTATGTATTTCTAATGATACCATTACTAAAGATGGTTACCATGTATTTGATATAGTTATATATATATTTAGATATCAAACCAATTCATCATATGAATAAGTTTACATGCAAAATTTGTTCATAATGAAGTAGCCATGTACAACGGAATAAACAAATATCTTTGTAGAGGGAAAATGTCATCCTGTAACACAGAATACACATATAAATCACAATAGAAATTATACAGTTGTTTATTTAATTGCAATATTTTCAGTATACATACACAAATAAAGTTATAACCTAACTGTATGAGAGCCAGTCAAAAAGTCTTTTCTTGATGTGATTGCTTCCAAAATAGTCACCACTGACTGCTATACACTTGACTAAATGTGTCTGCCATTCATTCTCTTCAAAACAGCCTTTAATTAATCAATAGCTGCTACAGCTTGTAACAGGTGATGCAATTGACCAAAGGATGCAAAAAAAAATCTGATTCTCAATCAAATGATTGAGAAGATGTATATATTCATCTTCATTGTATATTATTATATTATTCAGTATTTACCCAAGATCATGCTATACTTCAAATTCTATGAACTTTTGAACTTTTTATTGAAGTATATGCTCTATTTACTCAAGAATTTACATTATTTTACTGCAATTGTATTGGTTGATTAGCGACCACACCTATATATTCAAGTTTATATTTTTCTTAATCATTATATATCAACATCATCATTACGATATTTTTCTATGTTTACTGAGAATGTTAGAAAGCAATTCTATTCATTAGATATGTTTCTAGTCTCTTATTTATTTTAAAATATTGCAAATTATGTCATCTAAGCTTTTCTCGCATCACAGTAATCGAGCACGTGACCATTTCCACTGACTCCTGTAACAACATCTTGAATTAATTGAAACTCAAGACTCCAATTCCTAATCACATACATCCTTTCAAGATTTAAATTTTCACATTTCTAAAGCCTTAAATGAATAATTCAAATAGAACAAGTCATGTACTTTTGGTGGTACGACACTTGTAGTTTAATGCTAAGACCTGACCTGGTCTCAAATGAATATGGCAGTACAGGCATATGAAATGATCACACCTTAATTTGCAGAGAGTAAAATATTAGCATTGGCCAATATAATCTCCTTATATGCTTACCTCAGGTTCTGGATTTAGCCATACAAAATGTGCATGTCATTTATGTATGTGTTAACTCTTTTGCGCCGTTAGAGGCCAAAATCTGATTAACTAACACAACTGAAACACACATATAGTCATACATTTTTAATGGATTTCCTTCCCCCATGCTAATTAGAATGCTACAGCACTAACAATAACCTACTTAAGTAAATCTTCACATGTTTTCACCACTGTGTGCAGTTTTTCCTTGGGACAGGATTGCAACTTTGGGCGTCAATAGCTAAAAATTGACGCTACACAAAGGAGAAGGAGGAAGATGCACTCATATAACAGAACTACTTTTAGTCACTTCAAAAGAATGATTGGCATGTCATTTAACAACTCCCGAAAGCAACGAACCATGCGCCAACGTAATGGGGGAAAGCACCAAAGAAAATGATTCAGGCGTTTGGGTGACCTGTTGATGTCTGAATGGTTGAGCGTTTTGGGCGACTTTGATGCAAAAGAGTTACACATTTGTGATGATATAAATAGTAACATTTGTTTTAAGATAATGTACTTAAAAAAATTCTTAAAATTCTGCTGTTAAATGTTTATGCTTCTTGCCTATTTTGAAGAAAACAGCTCAAAGCTGTATACATATTTACGTAGGAATTTTGAATTTGCCATATACAATATTTTATTACTAGTATTTTTATTTTGTCAACAGTTACAATAGAAAGATGGTATGTGGGAAAAGCGCAAATAAGTGAACTCAGAAAATGAAAGACTCCCACTCAGAAATGTGTGTAGAAATTTTTGTATAAAAAGTGAGGATATTACACAATATGCTTTCTTTCAGTTGCAGAAATTCTGCAGTTCTTGAATGTGTAAGAAGGCATATTGATGCAAGCCTCCAAAATCAGATCCTGGATCTTATTTCAGACTATTTGTTCAAGCACTGTATAGCTGGTAATGGTACTGGGTAATGGAAATACTTACATACAATTTCCACTATACTTTGTGGCTTCAGTTTCAAAATTAAAAACTAGCCATTTTTAAAACTATTGTTTTTACCACTGCTTTATTTTTTCTTATTTTCATCACTAATATTTCATTAACAGAATATATCATTGTTTTTGCTTTTCAGCAGTGGTTCATGTAAATAATTACATTTATAGAGGTAATCCTTGATTTACATGGTAGATTGGTTCCCCTAAAATGAATGTAATAAATTTAACAAATCTAAAAGAAACATTATTATTTACTTTTTGTAAAATAAAAATATATGTACAAACATATTTTAAAATAAAAATACATGAATGCAGCAAGATTCTGTGCATAGAATAATTTAAAAAAAATTAAAATAAAAAATTCTTTTTATTAGGCTTTATCTTCTTGTTAATAATACAACAGCTTTTCTTTTGTTTCTTGGTGGTACACCAAGAGCTGCCAATTTGTTCAATTTTAGGGATGGATCCCAATTTACTGAGTTATGGCAAGATATGTTTTAATAAAATTCATTATCAAAGGTTATTTCAAATAACTAAGCTCCTTATAAATTTCCTGTTATGGAGAATAGCAAAATGCAATTCTCTTCCAAATTTTAAACATCTTTCAATGTTCATTCTCAACATAGAAATTTTCCTGTTCTTCAGTCACTACAAGTTTTTTTTTTTTTTTTCTTTTTCTTTTAATCTATAATACTTATATAAGTTGTGTTGGAACTTTTTCACAATAACTTGTTCGAGATGTCCTGGATGTGGAATCAATGGCAAGTTCCATCAAATCATAATCATTAAGTTCAGTATCTGCCATTAGTCTTTAAAGGCCATTTGAAGTCATCAAATACTTCTCCAACTTCATGTGTCAATCTTGTTATATTGGAATATTCATTCTGTAATGCTGATGTATCATATTCACTAAAAACCACTACATCTATCCAAATAGATTTCCATTAGCACTCATTTAGGGTAAACTTTTTTATTTCTGTAATGGCTACTTTGATTATTTTCACACAACTAGAACAGAATATTTTTCCAAACATTGGTCATGATAAGTATATTGTCAGTCTATTTCATCCAAAATCATTTTGAAAACATGTTTCAAGTAGTATGCTTTGGAAGTCAAAATAATAGCCTGGTTAAGTGCTTGGATCAGTGATGTATTTTATTTAATAGTAAAAATACAGTTTTCACATTATCATGATGTAAACTTATAGGATGTCCTGAAGCACTGTCATAAAGTTCAACATTGGGAGCAAAAAATTGTGAACAGTCTAGAAATATTGCCATGTGAGCCAAGCATTTTCATTAACATTCTAATACACAGGACAATTACTTTTATTCAAGCCTTTCAATGCTCTTGGGTTTAGAAAATCTAATAACCATAGGTTTCATCATAAAATGATCTACATGAAAAAGAAAATAAAAAGAAATTTGCTTTTTTAAACTTTTAAAATCCTGCAGCTGATCTTTCATTTCAAGAAAGATATGCTCTACATAGCAATTTTTAAAGAACAGGCCTGTCTCATTTGCACTAAACAACTGATCAAGGGTACAAGAATCTTCTTCAATTACTTTGCATAACTCTTTAGATTCCTTCTTCTTCTATTGGGTTTTGTTGTCCTGCATCAAAAGATGTAACTGAAAAGTTTACGAAGTCATTCAAGGATCTTCATCTTTTGAAATTGGTAGAAATTCCAAGATAACTGTCAATAAAAAACTGTGTATCCATCAGCCTGCATACATTCTGTAATGCATCTAAATTATCTTATTCAACTGTCATTTCTTGAGGAGTGAAAGTGAAAATCAAGTTTCAGTGCAACTGGTGATTGCTAAATTGACAATCGCACCATTGAAAGCAATGTCAAGTCCTAGACTAGAGTTAATAGCATGTACAATAGGTGTATGTCTTTCTGATATGGTGAAAAAAGCGTTAACCCTTTCTGGCACACTGCCCTTTAAAGTCGGAGTTTTGGTGATAAAAAAAAAAAAAAAAAGTAGGCAGACTAATTAGGCCTAGAGGAGTACACAAGTAATATTTTGTGAAGATAGCACTTATCATTTTAATTCTGTGAGTGTGCCCAAGGCGGCACACTGATTGAATAGAGCTTCAAAAACAGTGCTGAAACGAGCATTGTTGTCAATGAACTGACTGATGAAATGCGGAGAAACAAAGAATACAGACTTTCAATTATCCTAGAATATCAGTGAGCCTGGTTTGGACATACTTAGGGTTCGCTGTTTGATTTTAGGCAAGATTTCAAGGTAAAAATTTAAAACTAACATAGAATAAGGAGATTAGCATACAACCAAAAAAAAAAAATAACGGAGAAATTTCTTTTCAAATAATTCTTTTTATACCCTAAAAGAAATCTGGAAGATTTCTTTGAAAAATGAGGGTCTTAAAAAACTAAACATGGCTAAAATGGACTGGTTTGTATTGAGCTGCCATCTACTATAAAAAAAGAAGAAGATAAACAGTACAAAAACAATAACAGCCGCTATTTCTAAATGCATTGTTTGTAGAAGACACAGCAAAAGCAATGAGAACAGTTTCTGTTCCACTTCCAGAAGACAGAATTAGAAAAGTATCCATTTTTGAAGTCACTGGAATAGTTTTAGCAAGTCCTCTTATTCTTAAAGATGGAACAAAAGCTTGGTTTGCTTTATATACA